CGATCTGGCCAGCGAGGTAAGTGCGGAGCTCGGGCGACTGGGCGTTGTCCAGGATGGAGCCAGGCAGGGCCACGCTCAGGGTGTAGGGCCGTCCTGGGCAGGGGCAGGGCACCTGGTCAGCCTAGGAGGCCAAAGCCCGCCCCACTCCTTTCTTCTGGGGCCTTGGAGACTTGTTCAACTGCAAGGCTGTGTGTGTGTGTGTGTGTGTGTGTGTGTGTGTGTGTGTTCTGTAATTAGGGATCAAACCCAGGATCTTCACTCAGCTACAACCCCAATCCTTTTTACTTTTTTTTTTTTTAATTTATTTATTTATTTATTTATTTGTGTGTGTGTGTGTGGCCAGCTCAGCCCACCTGGGGCGGGGCTGGCTGGCATGTGGTGCTGGGGGATTGAACCATGGTCCAAGTGTTTTGCTAAGCTTGTTCTAAGTAGGTGCTTTAGACCACTGAGCCATCTCACCAGCCCCTCCTTTTTACTTTTGAGACAGCAGTTTAATAAGTTACCTAGGCTAGACTTGACTTGCGATTTTCCTGCCTCAGCTTCCCAGAGTACTGGGATTAGCTGTATGAGCCACCGCACCTAGCTTAACTGAGATCAGCAAAATGGATCCAACCCTCTTCTGGACTTGAGTTCCTCCAGGAGGAAAATGGATAGGTGACCTCCCAGGTTCCTATGAGCAGAGCAGAGGAACTGGGCAAGGCCAGGGAACAGTCAGGAGTGTTGGCCTATGTCTACATCCTGGCTCTGCCCCACTCCCTAGTTTCTCTAACTGCCAAACAGATTTAGCACTTTGGAGGCTGAGGCAGGAAATCTCTGTGAGTTCAAGGTTGGCCTGGGCTACACAATGAGTTCTAAGCCAGTGAGACCCTGTTTCAAAAACACAAAACAAAACAAGAAACAGGTCTGGGGAGATAGCTCAACGGTCTAAGCTCCTGCTTGGTAAGCACAAGGACCCAGGTTCAATGCCCAGTACCACATCCTGTGCTACCATGCCAGTGCCTGCCACTGAAACCAGGCATGGTGGCACACGCCTATAATCCCAGCACTGGGGAGGCTGAGACAGGATCACTATGAGTCCAAACTGTATGGAGACCCTGTATCAAAAATAAAAAGGACAAGGTCCTAGAAGCATACAATTAAGAGACGCAAAGTTTAACATCTATAAGCTTGAACTCTGCCTAAGGAGGTCGGCCTCTCTCTATCCGTTTTAGGTCTGTTTCTCTATCAGGACCAGATGTCTCAGCCAGGTGGTCACTAAGGGCTCTTCCAGATCCGACACTGTTCTGCCACAGCACAGCCACCGCAGGCCGCCAGTGCCCTTGCCCAGTGCCCAGGCTCACCTAGGTCCTTCCTCTGGGCAGCTGCCTCCTCTTCCTCCTTCTGGCGCTTGGCCTGCTCCTCCTGTGCTCGCTGCCGCTCCAGCTTTTTGGTCACCTTGAGGTCCTTCCATTTCTTTTTCTCCTCTTTCTCTGGGTAAGAAAACGGCCTGATTGGAAGGGGGTAAGGGACCCGGTGAGCCTAGCACGGCGAAGCCTGCCTCCTTGGAGAGCTGCAAGTCAGGCAGGCTCTGTGGCCCGCTGAAATGGCCTGAAGGAAGGGGGGACACAGGCTCTCGTCCCCACCACGGCCCTTACTTACTCTGTTGTTTCCATTTTCGCCACTCAACCCTTTGTCCGTGTTCACCCTGGAGGAGGAGCAGGACTGAGTGAGAAGCTGAATGGTCCCATCAGAAGGGGGACCACACGTGCTGTTTCACAGCGCTCCCGCTCCTCCTCCAACCCGGGTCGGGAGAAGGCGGGAAACCACTACACGCTGCTGCGTCAGGGGGCCCGGGACCTGCTGTGCCCCCGGTGCCTGGATCAGGCCTGGCACGACGAACTCGTGAAACGGGAGAGGAAACTGAGGCAACGGCGACAGGATACGCCCACAATCCCCTGAGAATCGGAAGACTTGGGGCACAGAAGGGCTCAGGGCTAAGAGCCCGGTCCCAATTCCTGAATCCAGCCCCGACCGGACGACCACCGGGACTGCGTCCCAGCCGCACAGGACCAGCCTGCGGCACGTTCGGGCTTCCGGACTTCGGAGCGGAGGGCCGGGGCGCGCGGGATGGCCCCACCACGGGCCCCAGGCTGCCCGTTCTCACGCCCCAGCCCCAGCCCCGGCCCGACGCTGCCCCTGGCCCGCTGGGAACGCACCGGTCCGCACGGCCGCTTCCGCCCGCGCTCCGCCATGTTCGCAGTGCACCGCCGGCCACGCCCATACTACTCAAGATTCGTCTCTTCCGGTCACACCCCCACGCCACCGTCCAATCGAAGGCCCTATAGCGCGTGGGGCGTGGCCTTAGCCCGCAGCGGGGCTGGGCTGTTCAGGAGTGGAGTCCCGACTGCAGGATGGGGCGGGGCTAACCTGCCTCCAGCGTGGGTAGGCAATGAGCTGCGTCTTGCCCACTGACTGCCGTGCATATTGGATGGCCACTGGGCTAGTGACTTCTAGGAGTCCTTAAGGTGAGGGACTCATTTATTTATTTATTTGCGGAACCAGGGATTGAAGCCAGGGAAGCGCTTAATCCACTGAGCCATCTCCCTGGCCCCAGGGACTCATTTAGAAGATCAATCCTGGATGCCTATCTTTAGGGACGGATGTGGCTGCATTTGTTTACTTTTCTGTCGTGAGGTGGGCCCCACAGCAGGGGTCTGTCTCTCCCAAAGTTGCAGTCACCTTGTCTTCCACACTGCCTCCTTGAAGGCCTGGCCCTGTCTGACTGCCTATATTTCCATCTGACTCAGGTGCCTGCAACACTAGCACCCTGGTATGCATCCAACTTTTTGTTTTTGAGACAGAGTCCTGCTTTGCAACTCAGGCTGGCCTTGAACTCACTGTAGCCCAGGCTGGCCTCAAACTTGGGGTGATCCTCCTCCCTCAGCCTCCTAGTTCTGGGATTATGGGCATGTGCCACCACACCCTGCATATTCCGTAACTTCTTTTGGTTGCCAGGTGAATCCATAGGACACATGTGACTCTGACTTCAGACAAGCCCAAAGTCCTCAGCTATTTTGGGGGCTTTTTTTTTTTTTTTTTTTGGTGTTATGGGGGATCAAACTCAGGACCTTGCACTTGTCAGGCAGGTGCTTAAGCCACTGATCTATCTCCTCCTTTGGGGCCTTACTTTTATTTTATTTTATTTTATTTTGGCGGAACCGGGGATTGAACTCAGATCCTTGCGTTTGCCAGTCAAGCGCTTATCCTACTGAGCCATCTCCCCGGCCCCTAGGGCCTTACTTTTAACACACACACTTATTTATTCATTTATTTGTTTTTGGTAGCAGGGATCAAACTCAGGACCTTGAGCTTGCCAGGCAGGTACTTAAGCCACGGAGCTCCCCCCACCACCCCCAAATTGTACAAAAAGGGTGAGGCTGGGTCTGACTCTTCCTTCCATTCTGACCAAGCCTCACTCAGCAATCCCACTGTCCGAGGCAACGACACACTGCCAACTAGAGTTTGAATAACTTATTTTTTATTACAGGCAAAAAAGACTCGACACAGAATTGAGATCAATGTTAGATGTAGAAAGGCAGAGGTGATGGCTGAGCTTTAGCTGGGGCTAGGAAAGGGTAGGAAACAGGGCTGAGATTCAGGGTCACTATGGTACCAGCTCTCCCCAGCTAAGCCAGAAGAGGCCAAGGGCCTACAACAGACCCAGGAAGGGGCAGAGGGCCCTCAGGCCTCTCTTACCCACACTGGAGACAGGAGGTGCAGGCACTGTAGGAGGGGACAGATGAAGTCCCAGACCAACGCAGGCTCTTCCCTAGGAATAGTCTGGATCCCAGAGCAGCAGGTCCCCAGTCCCAGCTCTGTGACGTGGGAATGGCTGGAGCCTGGACAAAGAGGCCCCATGTGGCACCCAAGTTGCCCAGCAGCCAACTCAGAACTTGAGCTCAGCCTTCCACTTCTGCAGCTTCTCATCCATTGCCTGCAGCGTGGCTTCTTCCTGCAGTGACATGTGTGTGTCCTTCCTTCCACCCCTTGCCCAGCTGCGGAAACACAGGGAGGGCCCCCAGCCTCACTGCTACCTTCGCAAAACAGAAGCGGATATAGTGGTTGAAGTCCTTCTGATGCGGCCTGCTGTAGAAGATGGAGACCGGAATGGCTACCAGGCCCTGGGGAGGAGGGAGCACAGGTCTCCGTATGATGTGGCTTTGTGGTCCAGCAGTCACAGTGGCTCAGGGGACACAGAGTGTCCCGTGAGGGACAGCAAGGAAAGCTGGGGCCTGTGCATCCCCTCCAAGTGATGTCATTGTGCTAGGTCCCTGCTTCTATTGAGAAGCATGGCTGCCAGGAGGGGGCAGGCCAAGCTGCAGGCCAGAGCCAGAGAAGTCAGGCTTAGAATCTCAGGGGAGAGCTGGACGGACTTCAGGCAAATGGTCCAGCTCTCCACTGCGCAGATGGGAAGACTGAGGCCCAGAGAGGGGGAGGAGGTCTTGTCACTCACCACTAGGTCTTTATGTAAATTAGAGCCAGGCTTCCTACTCAGGGGAGTAAGCAGAGCTATAGCAGGGTTCACGGCAGAGGCCTGGTGGGTGCCCGGGTGCTCCGGCAGAGGCACAGCCTACCTTGTTCTTTTTTTTTTTTAATTTGTTTTTTAATTTTAACATTTATTGTGTGTGTGTGTGTGTGTGTGTGTGTGTGTGTGTGGCCAGCTCAGCCCACCAGGGGGCGGGGCTGGCTGGCATGTGGTGCTGGGGATCGAACCGCGGTCCCTGTGCTTTGCCAAGCTTGTTCCAAGTAGGTGCTTTAGACCGCTGAGCCATCTCTCCAGCCCCCTACCTTGTTCTTGATCATCCACTTGGCAAAGCGTCTGTCGTAGGGCTCATGCGCAGCACCTGGCAGGTCCGGCATCTTGCTCTCTGGGGACAGAGGCCATGCTGAGTCCTAGGCAGCCTCCAGCCCTCACTGTGTCACTGGGGACTGCCAGTGTCACTCACTGAAGTCCGAGATGTCCACAGTGAGGAAGTAGCCTCCCTGGGGAGCCACAGGCTTGAAGCCTACGGACTGCAGGCTGCGGATCATATGGTCACGGCGGCGCTGCAAGGCCTGAGGCAGCTGCACGAAGTAGCTGCTGGGTTGGCCAAAGAGGAGCTGCTCCTGCTCGAGGCACTGGGCTACCGCGGCCTGGACAGAGAGGACGGACGAGGCAGTCAGGGGTGCCGCGCCACTGTGCCACGTGGAGCTCTTCTCCTGCTTGTTCTGCCTCCTCCCCAGCCCCTGCCCCCTCACCTGGGCCTGTGTAGGACAGTGGTAGATGGAGTTCTGGTGCACAGTCCGCAGGTGCTTCATGATGTTCTCGGGACCCAGGACCCAGCCCACCTGGGCCAGGGACACAGGCACTGGGTGAAGCCCTCAGGGCCTAGCCAAACTTCTCAGCTCCCATGGCTGCCATCACCCCACACCCCACTCCCGCTTGGGCTCACCTTCCAGCCGGTGACACTGAAGGTCTTGCCAGCGCTGCCAATGGTCAGGGTGCGTTCCCACATGCCGGGAAGGCTGGCTGCCCAGGGCCAAAGGGAACCACTGCTGAGCCAGGGAGTGGGCAGGGAGGGTGGGTGGCCTGGGCCCAGGTGTATGCACAGATTCTCCCCGCTGGGGATGTGGCCACTCACTCAGCTAGACAGGACTCTCTCTCTCTCTCTTTCTCTCTCTCTCTCTCTCTCTCTCTCTCTCTCTCTCTCTCTCTCTCTCTCCCCGAGACAGGGTCTTGCTCTGCAGTAGAGCCTAGCCTTGAACTCTCTTTGTAGCCCAGGCTGGTCTCAAACTCATAATGATCCTCCTGCCTCAGCTTCCTAAGTAAGTGCTGAGATTACAGGCATACACCACTATGCCTGACTAAGAAATTTGATTTCGTTCTCAGGACAGCCTGGTGAGGAACACGCTGCTGTCTGTGGCCCCCGTCCTCAGAAAGGTCCCAGCCCAAGGTCACACGACTGTAGAGTCCCAGCCCGGGTCTAGCTCACCAGCTGGGGCTTGGTGCCTGGTCACAGTGTCCAGGGAGGGGGCGGGTCAGCTCAGCTCACCTATGCTGATGTGCTGGTTGCCGTCGTACACAAGCCACTGGTAGACCTCGTCACTGATGCACAGCACATCGTGCTGCTGGCATAGGCTGGCCACCAGCTCCAGCTCCGCCTTGGAGAACACCTGTGGGACCAGGGAGGTGCCAGCCTGCAGCTGGGACTCAGGGCCCGCTCTAGCAGCAGGCAGCCATGCTGGGCACTAGGGGCTTCCCTGCATCTTCCCCCAGATCTTGGCACCCTGACCTGACCTGGTGACATGGTCCCCTCAGGTGCCATTTCACACATGAGGTGGCACTGGGAGAGGCCACTGTTCCATGGTCACTGGGAAGCATTGAGGCCCCAGCCACACCACCATCCCAACCCTGACCACCTTGTGGGGTTCCTGCTCCTGTCACTGGGACCTCTGGGAGGCTCAGTCCCCAGGTACCTTCCCGAGGGGGTTGTTGGGTGTGTTGAGCACCAGGACTTTCGTGCGAGCTGTGAACTTGCTGGCCAGTTCTGTGGCGTCCAGCTGCCAGCTGCTGCTGGAAATCTGGTCCTGGTCCTGACTGGGGCTCTGCAGGAGGCAGTGGGAGGGGCTGGCAGAATGACCCTTCCTGTAACTCAGCTCCTTGCCAGAGTGCCTGTCCCTGCCCAGAGACACAAGCTCCTTCCTCTCTGCCCAGTCCCACTGCGCAAGCTCCAGCCCAGCTCCTTCCAGGTCCCTCTGTCACCCGCAGACTCATCAGCTCACCTGTTTCAGAGACACAAACACAGGGCGACCCCCGGCCATCAGTGTCATGGGCTCGTAACAGTCAAAAAAAGGTTCAATGATGATGACCTGGTATGAGAATGGCAGCTGTCAGTGGGGTCGGCTCCGCCTCGTCCCTGCCCCACCGCCAGGCTCACACTTCACCTCATCTCCTTCATCCACCAGGGCCTGGAAGGCTGTGAACAGGGCCCCATAGGCTCCCACGGTCACCAGCACGTTAGTGAGCGGGTCCAGCTCCTGTCCCAGCAGCTTCCCGAAGAAACTTGCCAGGACCTTTGTCAGTGGTGGGTGACCCTGTTGGGATGAAGGCTCAGGGGCCGCGCTCACCCCCAGCTGAGCTGCCTACGCTGGCTGCGCTGCACCCCAGCAATTCTCGCGCCTCCCGGTGGCGAGTCTGCGGCAGTGTCCGTTCCTCTCCTGCCTTTGCGATCCGGCCTGTCTATTCTAGGGGTTCACCCAGGGCTGTGAAGGGGCAGCGCGCTAGACGTAATATTCCTGTCTAGCTCGACCAAGGAACTTAGGACAAAGCCGCAGGAAGATAAAGTATGTGTGGGGGAAACCAGCAATAACGCAGTTCGTTTTTCCTTGAGACTGGGGGAGAAGCCAGGAAGGCGGATTTGAAATTGGGTGACAGGGACTCAGGAAGGTGGCAGAGACAGCAGCTTACGTGGGGGTCTTGATGGGGGAGGTGGGTTTTAAAATCGCAAGGTAACGGGTGCTCACCTACCCAGAAGATCTGCAGACACGGTCTTGGGAAACATGAATGAGAGGCAACGACAAGAAAGAGGGGCCGGGGAGATGGCTCCGTGGAATAAGCGCTTGCCTGGCAAGCGCAAGGGCCCCGGTTCCGCCCAAAAAAGAAAAAGAGTTCACTGCTGTTGACAAGAAAGAGAAACTGACCAAAAGGCACAGAAGGAAAAAGCGCCTAACAACACGCATTCCAGGATCTCAGCGGAAGCAAGGAGGGAGGACAGCTGAAATGGAAACGTCAGGTGTGGTGGTGCACACGTGTGATCCCAGCACAGGGCTGGCTGAGGAAGGAGGGTCACTGTGAGCTTAAGGCCAGCCTGGGACACACAGTGACCATAGCGAGAGCTCCCTCCCCTCCAAAAAAGATTGTGCCCACTGTTGGCTGGACAGGCAGACCACGGAGCCCCTCCTATCTTCGAGTGAATGAATACACATCCAAAGACAGCCACGGAGCAGTCACTGAGGCACTGTTCGCAGGAGTGAACACCCGAGGCAGCCCAGCGGTGTAGGACCGGTAGTGAGACACGGCTCAGCGGCCAGTGCCGCTCAGTCTGCAGCCTTCAGGGAGGGGCTTTGCGGACAGGGCAGGCGCCCTGGATATGCTGTACACACTGTGAGGCCACTTACCTCGCATAATGCAACATCAGACTGAAAAGAATGGGCCAGCCAGCCAGCTCAGCAGTCTAAAGTACCTGCTTAGGCAAGCTTACACAGACCCAGGGGACCACAGTTCGATCCCCAATCCCCATACCACATGCCACACCAGCCCTGCCCTCAGGGCAGGCTGAGCTGGCAAAAAAAAAAAGACTGAAAAGAATTTGAGAAAAATCCCTCCTAGCAACGTAGGGAAAAATGAAGAGCCACTGTTGTAGTGTAAAGGTGGAACGTATTTCCTATGTGTCCTTTACAGAAAAAGGTGAGTTTTAGCTGGGTATGATACTGTATGCCTGTAATCCCAGCAATCCAGGAGGCTGAGACAAGATTGTTGAGGGTGAATCTGTCCTGAGCAACTTAGGGAGACATTTTCTCAAAATATGAAATAAAAAGGGCTGGGAATGTAAGTCAGTGTGATGGCCCTGGGCTCCATCTTCAGCAAAGTGCACCCACGCATGCACTCAGAGTTTGGAATTCAACATTTATCCAGCCAGCAGCTTGCGTGTCAGGGCTTGCTTTAGGGGTTGCTTCCTCCGGGCAGCCCTCCCATCCATTCCAGGGTTCATTTTGCTCCCTGTCCCACCTCAGAGCCCAGGGCAGAGGGGATGCTCAGCAACCTGAACAGGAACCCTCACCCCGTATGGCCTTTATGTCTGGGAGGGCCTGCCCCTGCTTCCCCAGGGAAGGCCAGGGACTCACAAACGCCATGGTGTACTGGTTGAGCATGTAGTCCCCACTGACAGCCCGCTGAAAGGCTTCCACGGCGAAATCTGGGGGAGGGAAGTTTGGGAAGCCCTGGCCCAAGTTGACAGCGTCTTTGCATTCATTGGCCAGCTTGACATACTCCACCCTGGGGAGAAAGAGGGAGTCAGGAACAGTCCAGCCCCACACCTGACCTGGACTTCTACCTGGCCCCAGGCAGTGAGCAGGCCTGAGGCCCCACCTGGACAGCTGGCCAACACATCTGCCCACAGCCTGCAGATGGGAACTGGTCCCCTGCTTTGAGACCAGGTGGGCCAGGCCCGCGCCCCCTCGTGGTCACAGAGGGTATTTCAGGTTCTTCAGTCAAGACTCAAATAATAATGTGTGGTGGGTTATATCCCAAACCCTGGGGAACAGCAACAGTCTTTGGTGTGATCTAACAGCATCTTCTTCTCTGCTCTATTTTTTAAAATTTATTTATTTATTTATTTATTTATTTATTTATTTATCTATTTATTTATTTATTTTCTAACTCTAACCCTAACTCTAACCCTAACCCCTAACCCTAACCCTCTATTTTTATTTTTGCAAGGCTGAGGATTAAGCCCAGGGCACCTACTGTAGAGGCTACTTTAAATGCAATGAAAATTCTACTCCCATATTTCTAACTCTATTATGTATCTAACAAGGTTCAAGGATGTCACTGGGAAGCACTGTTGGTTCTCCTAATTCCCAGAGCCAGCTGCGAGTCCGGCGCAGCTTAGCCACGCAGTTGTGTTTTGCTTACTTACAAGTCCCAGAGACTTAGCACCTCGATAACACCTCTGCCCACTCTCAGACGTGACTGATTCTTCCCATGTGATAGGACAGTAACCTTATTAGTTCCCGGAAGAGTAAATTCTGCCCAGAGTTCATGACAGAGACACGTGTAACCAACTATAGAATGTTACGCTATCTACTTTTTTGTACTTCTAAAAAACCTACAGAAGGGATTGGTAACCTCAAAATGGGGCTGGTGACTTGAACCTCTGGGTTCCCCAGCCTGCGAGCATAATAAAGCTGCCTTCCAGAATTCCTCTGGTGCTGGTGTCTTCCCTTTGATCTGGTCCTGAATTCTGTAGGATAACTTGGGGGCTTGTCCAGGATACAACGTGCTGACCGTGTAGGTCACTGATGAAGGCCTGCTGGCCTCCAGGGACTTGCCCTGAGAATGCAGACCAAAGACTGGGCATGGTGGCGCACGCCTGTAATCCCAGCGCTGGGGAGGCTAAGAACAGGAGGATCACTACAATCCGAGCTGTGTAGTAGGGACCCTGTATCAAATACATTAAAAAAAAAAAAAAAAAAAGGAAAGCAGACCAGACAGAGTGCTCTCTGACTCTTTTCAGAGGAATGGGAACCCCTGAAGGCAGCAAAGCCTAAGAGGACACGGAACTCGGCAAGGCCAGCCAAGCCTCAAGCAGGTAGGATTGCCCCCGGGACATCCTTCAGTTGGCCTGTCAGTTTCTGTTTGTTAGTTCTATCCCCTGTAGGAAGGAAGGGCTGAGGGCCGACTTGATCACCCTCCGAGCCTGTGCTAGGAGCCTGTGTTAGTCAGGAAAGTAATTTTCTGTTTTGGATTCAGCTAAGCATCCTCCTGGGGCTGGGGACTGAAATATATTAACCTCTGAATGCTTGCTGAATGACTGAATGAATGTCTGAAAGGAGGTCATTCCATTGTGCTTCACCATGAAAGTACCTACTCCCCGGAACTTACAACTGTGGAACTTGATTGAGCCCTAACCTGCGATTCCAGGGACCTAACTGGGCCTCAGCAGCAGGCGCTCCTCAGAGGCTTAGAAAAACATAACCCAGAACTAAGCGACCCTACACTTCCCCTTCTCCTGGATGCCCCCGTGTTGCTGAGAGCACCTGTGTGTGTGCTCTCTCTCCATGAGATCCCCCATCCTTCGTCTGTGGGGACTCCATTCAAGGGTCCACCATACACTATTGAAAAAAAAAAAGTGTGGAGGCCAGGGAGATGGCTCAGTAGAATAAGCGCTTGCCTGACAAGCGTAAGGGCTTGAGTTCAATCCCTGGTTCTACCAAAATAAATAAATAAGTAAATAAATAAATAAATAAATAAAATAACACTGACTCAAGTTTACTCAGGGGTCTGTTGGCAGCCGGTCACATTTACTATTTGAGGAAAAAAAGGGGCGCTTTAAGATTCAAAAGGGGCTACAGTCAAGTTTGTAAAAGGTTATAGTAAATAGGAGAAAAAGATATTACAAGCTATAAATGTAAGAGATATACTTTTGATATGAGGATTCTATGTGATGAGTCTTGTTCTGCTAGAGAGTTTTTTTTTTTTAAAAAAGTAATAAGATTAAAATGCTTATGTTTGTTGAAAAAAACTTATGTGAATGGTATATTAAAAGAAAAAATAAACGTATGGTCACTTGTTCATTTGATGGGGCTTGGGTTGCTCCTTCTAAAGACTTCCATGAGAGAAACG